GCAGTATGAGCCGCGTGGCGTGTCCTGCCGGGAGGCTGTGAACGAGTGCGACATCCCCGAGAGCTGCACCGGGGACTCCAGCCAGGTGAGCCGGGCTGGGGGGGACACAGGGGGACGCATTGCGGGGCCACACGGCATCGCCTGTCCTCTTCTCTGTGTCCCCCCCAGTGTCCCCCCAACCTCCACAAGCTGGATGGTTACTTCTGTGAAAACGAGCAGGTGAGTCCGGCCCAGCCTGGCGGGACACAGCCGTGGGGCTCCAGCACATCCCCATGGGCTCCAGCACCCTGGTGCTTGTGCATGCAGGCAGCTGCAGCCACGGCTGAGCCACGCACACGTGCATGGATGTGGGCTTGGGGGTGAGCTGGCTCCTGCAGTAGCTGGGGTCCCTAGGGTGTGCGAGCCCTCCCCGGGTCCCCGTTCATCACCCCCCCGCTGTGCAAGCCAGGGCTGCGGTCCCTGTGCCACATGCATTCCCATGCTTCCACCTGCGCCCATGCCTGCTGCAATGGCCCGTGCGAGTCTTCCTCGTCCACGTGCATCTGCAGCCATGGGCCGTGCAAACCTTCCACGTGCACGCATGCACGTGGGGCCCTGTGCCCCGGATGCTGCCCAGTGGCTGCATGCATGGGGGGCTCCCCGGTCCCCATGATCCCACCCCCTGCCCGTGCAGCTGGGGTGGTGGTGCCGGGGCTGAGCACATGCACGGGGGGGGGCCATCATCCTTGCACCACCTCTGTGGCCATGCACACGCGCGTGCAAGCCCCTCCTCGGCCCCGTGACCCCTCTCCCTGCTCCCCAGGGACGATGCTATGGCGGGCGCTGCAAAACCAGAGACCGGCAGTGCAACGCGCTGTGGGGCCGCGGTGAGTGCCGGCGCCGCAGTGGCTTTGCTAGGGGTGGGGGGACAGGGCGTGACAAGTGAGTGACACCCCATTTCTCCCAGGCTCGGCCGAGCGCTTCTGCTATGAGAAGCTCAATGTGGAGGGGACCGAGAGGGGCAACTGCGGGCGCGAGGGCCTGGGCTGGCTGCAGTGCAACAAGCAGTGAGTGAGCCCTGGCCCCCGTGTCCCCTCCCGGGTGCCACCTGCCCTGGTGATGCCACCAGTGCCTTGCAGGGACGTCCTCTGTGGCTTCCTCCTCTGCGCCAACATCTCGGGCGCGCCCCGGCTGGGTGAGCTCAGCGGCGAGATTGCCGCCACCACCTTCTTCCACCAAAACCGCTACGTGGACTGCAGGTGGGTGCCACCGCCATGGGGATGGGGACATCCCCGGGTGTGTGGGGGTCCTGGTGTCACCCGTTCTCGCTGTCCTGGTGCAGGGGAGGCCATGTGCAGCTGGTGGATGGCTCGGACCTGAGCTATGTGGAGGACGGGACGCCCTGCGGCCCTGGCATGCTGTGTCTCGACCACAAATGCCTTCCAGCCACGGCCTTTAACTTCAGCTCCTGCCCCGGCAGCTGGGACGGGAAGATCTGCTTTGACCACGGGGTGAGGGACACGGAGAGGGGCAAAGGGGACCCGGGGAGGTGTCACGGCATTTGGGGGGGGTGACACCATCCCTGCGCAGGTTTGCAGCAACGAGGGCAAGTGCATCTGCCGGACCGAGTGGACAGGGAAGGACTGCAGCGTCTATGACCCCATCCCCGAGCCCAAGCCGACGGGGGAGACGGAGCGATACAAGGGTCCGTGTGCTCCAGGGGGAAGGGAGGGGCTCCCCGTGTCCCTGCTGTCCCCGGTCCCCACAGGCTGGGGGGGTCCCACTTTGTCCCCAGCCACCTCCTGGGGGTCCAGTGTCACTGTCCCCCCTGGTGCCACGGCACAGCTGGGTCTTGTCCCCCTCCCAGGTCCCGATAGCACTGGGGCTGCCCTGGGGCTCTGTCACCATGTGTGTGTCCCCACTGATGCGTGTCCCTGTCCCCTCCCCCCCTGTCCCCTCTGTCACAGGTCCCAGTGGCACCAATATCATTATCGGCTCCATTGCGGGGGCCGTGCTGGTGGCTGCCATCGTCCTAGGGGGGACAGGCTGGGGATTTAAGTAAGCAGCCACCGCATGGCTCATCCCCTCCGCTGCTGGCACCGTCACCGGCCACGTACCCCTCGGGCACCGTCACTGTCACCAGCCTCATCCCACTTGTGCACCGTCACCGTTACCAGCCACGCCCCCCTTGTGCACTGTCACCGTCACTGGCCACATCCCCCTCATGCACCGTCACTGTGCCAGTGTCAGGGGCAGGCCCCTGCCCTCCTGGGGACCCCCTGGCCCCCCCTGGCTGGGGGCCACCGCCAGTCCCCCCTCTCCCCTGCTGGGCATCACCTGTGGTGTGGTCCCCTGGGAGCTGGGAATGCCTGGTCCCCTGGCCCTGCCTGGTCCCCTGGCCCTGCCATCCCTGCCTGCACGCGTCCTCCGGGTTTCGCTGTCACCCTAACCCCTTGCTCGGTCCTGGCCATGTCTGTCCCCAAGCATGGGGTGCTAGGGGGGTGGGGGGGTTGTGCTGGTGGCCCCCACGTGTGTGTGTGTGCTCCTGCCTGGCACTGGGATGTGTCTGCTGCCTGTGGGAGGGACACTGGTGGGGGACAC